TCACATCCTGTCACATCGTTGTTTTTGGCAAATTAATGAATTTTTGCACGAGTTCAGACATCGAACCTCAAACGTCCTCTCAAACCTCTGGAACTCTCTCAGCCTCTCGTGGAAACCCTCAGCCAGAGCGCCCCCTGCAGCACGAGGAAGGACGATGTTTCACTTTAATAACGTTCATGATTGTGTGTGTGTGTGTGTGTGTGTGTGTCTTCTGCTCATGTGCAGCTCCACATCTTCACTCTTGGACTCCATCAGAGCAGCTCTGCATGATTCACAAAATAATCCTCACCTCACGTTCTGGAACCAGATGTTTTAGCTCCTCCCCCTTTGAGGGAGGCTGCCAATCACAAATAGACAGTTTGGCTGAAAAAATGTGTCATGCATTTGAAATGAGCGGATGTGAAATGAGCAGAGGCTCCTCCCACTGTCCCTCACCCGTCTCACCTGTCTCACCTGTCTCAGGCATGCCCTGTGCTCGCTGCATCCTGGCGCTCAGAACCTCTTTAGCTGAGACGAAGAAGATCCGCCCCGCGGCGTCATCCAGGCCGACCACCTTCAGCTCGTCAGCGAGGAACCCCACGCAGCGGTCCAGGTGCTGGTTCCTCACCTGCACAGCAGGGGGAGCGGTGCGTTTCTACCATAGCATGATAACCATAACCCAGCTAACCATAACCATAACCCAGACACTCAACCCACATAGGAAGAACCGGAACACACTCTCACACACACACACACACAGACCCACACACACACACACACACCTCTTCGATGTAGTCTGGTTCGGTCACTGAAGCGTCCCATCTGTTGTGGAGAATGAAGATGTTCGGTTTGGAGATTTTTTCGCTGACTTTGTGAAAGAAAAGTTTTTCCTGCAGGCAGAATTGAATTAGTTATTCCACTTTTAACAAAGACAGCCACTCACACGCAGCAGCCACTCGCACGCAGCCAATCAGACTGAGTCGTGTGATGAGTCGTTTCCTCACCGTGTTCATCAGAGTGGACTCTGCATTTCCCACCAGAACAAAGACGTCTGCGTCCAAACAGAACTTATCGATCCAGCTGTCCAACTCCAGGGTGACATCGGTCCCAGGGCTGGGCCAAGAGTCAAAGGTCAAAGGTCGCCGGTGTTAGTAAGTACTGGTACTGGCACTTTGACTAAATGCAGATGAAACTGAACCCTGTGGTTCTGACACAGAATATTATTTATTTAAGTGAATCGTCATCAGTGGGGTCAAAAGTCAGGAGGAGGGAGCGTTACCTGTCCATGAGCACCAAGTCGTCTCTCAGCAGAGCGCAGCGACTTTTAGGCCAGAAGACTTTGACCAGCGTACCCGAGTCCAGAGTGGGATCCATGTGGAGAGCATGAGCCAGCTGGTTCACCGTCTGAGGAGGAAGGAGGCAGCGAGTCATCACCACACGCCAGCGGGCGTGTCACGAGCATCGTGATCACCGCAGAGACACGAGCAGAGGTTTCTGTCACCTCACTCACAGTCACGCTCCTCCTCTCCGTGGACGCCTCGGTGATGAGGTAAGCCTCGTCTTCATCGGTCCCTTCGACGCTC